TGGTGGCCACTTCCACAATGCAAAATACAGTTTCTGTTTGTGCCAGTGCTGGACCTCTATCCTACCTTAGTGCAGTGGGATGAATGGATTTGCTCTCACAGCATGGTCACTCTAGCTGAGGTTTGTACTTCAGTTACATTATGGTAGACATGCTCTGCTTAACTAATTTCCTCACACAGCAGATTACCTTCTTTTAGCTCTGTCAGTCTTTGCATTTGGGCTGCGTGGCTGCCCCAGTTCATCCTAGACATGACTGTGCTGTAGCTCTGGCTACAATCATTTCTTTGTTTGTCAGTGCTGTCTACAGCTTTGGCATTAAGTATGTACCAGATAGCATCACGGAACTGTGGAATGACAGGAGGGGAACCCCTGGAGGTCCCTGCTCAAAGCAGGGAGAACTTTAGTTAGATCCAACTTGAGAGGCAGGCTGTGTTGCTCAGATCCTCATATGACAAGTTTGGAGACATCCTGAACTCAGATTTAGCACTAGCTGTCTCCAAAACACAAACTCACTCCCTCTTCTTAGTACTGGAAACCCAGAAGAGGTTTAATTTAGTTGTTTACTCATTGAGAGATAACGTGGCTATAGATTATAAAGCCACAATTTGCTGAGGCCATAGGAAATTAAAGATATTCTGAATTAAACACAACCCATTAACCTAGAACACCAAGGAAAACTTCAGCTTCTTTTTCTAGCCTAATACCAGAGGGGCCATGTCACAAAAAAAATAACGATGTAATAATTATCATAAAGATTATCATAAAGATTATCATTTGCAGTGTAGCTCAAAAGTTTGCTTAACACTGCTTACGCAAAGCAATTTGGTACCATCTACCACAAGGTCTGCTCTTTTCTGAAAGCATCTGCCGAGCAGCATTTCTGCTGCAAAAGGAAGGCTTTGGCTGATAACAGCCAGCTCTCCAACAGCCATTTACCTGAGAGCTCTTCTGAGACTTCCCATTTTCTAACTGCAAGAAGAAAGCGACGTGCGCGGCTCACCGCACTTGAAAACGTCTCGGTAAATTTCCCTGCATCTAAACTAGGCTAAACAAGTTACTTCCTAGGCACACTGACCCCTCGGGGGAGCTGCACAGTCTAGTTCAGACTCCATCCACGTTACAAAGCCCTAATTTAGTCCTGATGTTTTTCCACACGGAAGCCGGTTTTCACAAGGTCACCCCCAACAGAGACAGGAAATTTTGTACTCTTCCTGTGCAGACCTTGAGTTTTGAAAAATGCTTTTGCTTTCCAGCATCATCTGCATGTTATTTTTTTCCATCCCACTTACATTAAATGGTCTGTAGCAATGGCTGTAATTTATGCAGCTATTTTCGGGGCTTACATGTGATGCCACCACCTTGATTTTAAATGCTGCTTTTAAATGAATGCTCTCAAAACCACTGGATGGCTTTGACTGGGGAACGGAGGCTGTGTGGTATGGAGGCAAAACTGGGCTGTATTTGGTGGCAAACCGAAGCATGGAGAAAAAAGGGAAAAGGGCTGAATGCACATTACAGTCAGACATCTTTCTATTCCTGGGCACATTCCCTTATTTTGCAGTGTGTTTTGAAAAGGTGATGTGTGCCTGTCTCTGGGCATTAGTGCCAATACCTAAACAGGACAATGAATGAGGTCTGTAGGTCTGTACTTGCCCTTCTCATAGTGCACATGTCCTTGACTGCTCTGCTTTCCTCCGCTGCAGTGACAACACTTCTCACACAGGAGGAAATACTCAGCTCGCATCTTCCTGGAGAGCAGCAATTTCCCTGTTCTCATAACTCAAGTGTTCCTCACCAAACAGCTGCAGCATCTCCTCAAATTGTGGAATATATGGGTTTATTTTGGTGCTCTTTCCCCTTAAAGAACTGATCAGATTAGTGCGAGGGAAACATACCTAGAGCATCTTCAAGAGCAGCTGTTCTTTACAGATCAGCCCCAGGAAACCTTTTGCCTGTTTATACTGCAAATTAGCAGAATGTAGGCTTCTGTATCCTGAAATATTCTGTCATATCCCATTAAACAAGTGGAGAAGTGAGCCTCGGTTCCGAGCTGCAGATTGCAAAGGCAAGTGAGAGGGGAGCAAACAGTCCCTTCAGCGCTCACCTTGCTGCGTTTGCTGAGGTTCACATCATGAATTACCTTTATCTGCGTTACCTTGTCCATCTGGAGCTTCTCAGCAATATCCTTAGGAAAAAAAAATAGCTGTATTTCGTCTTGGCTTTCATGTATTTATTTATTTATTTTACTAGAAGTAACATCTTTCTTAACTAAGCTGATCATAGAATCACAGAGTGCCTTGGGTTGGAAGGGACATCAAGGATCATCAAGCTTCAACCCCCTGCCACATGTAGGGCCACCAATCTCCACATTTAATACCAGACCAGGCTGCCCAGGGCCCCATCCAACCTGACCTTGAACACCTCCAGGGATGGGACATCCACAACTTCTCTGGGCAGCCTGTGCCAGCACCTCACCACTCCCTTCCCCCTGATATCCAACCTCCATCTTCCCTCCCTCAATTTCAAACCATTTCCCCTTGTCCTGCTGTTATCAACCCTTTCAAAGAGTTGACTCCCCTCCTGTTTTTAGGCTCCCTTTAGGTACTGAAAGGCTGCAATTAGATCACTCTGCAGCCTTCTCCAGGCTGAACAAGCCTAGCTCCCTCAGCCTGTATTCATAGGGGAGGTGCTCCAACCCCCTCATCATCTTTGTGGCCCTCCTATGGACCCTCTCCAACAGCTCCTGATATGCATGGGTTGTATAAAAATACATAGGATATCTATGAAAAAGCTATTATTTTCTAACCTGTGCCTGGCCCAGAGTGAAAGCGAGCTGTGATGTTTGGTTTTACATCTGCACTATGTGTGTACGTTCTCATTTTAGCACTGTGACCCAGATGGCTGTGGGCCCCTGGTTCTGGGGGTTTTCCATCTGGAAGTTTGGATGGAAGCTGGCATTCCTGATCCTGCATTCATCACACTGAGCAATAAGCCAGGGCCCGTGGTCTTCTGTCACTGGTAACTGACAGTAATAATAGTCTCTCAGCTGTCATAAGAGGATGTGAACAATCCTTGTTTGGGTAATGAAGAATTCAGTCCCATCTGATGACTGTCAGCTGAGATGATCTCAGAAGGAAGGGATTCTGCCCACAAATCGCCTTTCCCTCTCCCCAGCAGCATTTCTGTCCTTGTCCCTTCCTGCATTCCTCCTCCCCCATGCTCACCTCACACAGCAGCCTGCACTGGGAGGCTTTGCCCACATCGCAGTGGTGTGGCTTGGAGTGAGCTGTACAGCTCATGCAGACAACACACATCCCAGTGCTATTGAAATCTCAAAGCTTAGGCCAGGCTGGATGTGGGCAGCCTGGGCTGCTGGTTGGTGACCTGCACACAGCAGGGGGTTGAAACTGGATGGGCATTGTGGTCCTTTGCAACCCAGGCCATTCTGTGATTCTGTGATTCCTGCTTTTCTCAGGAATCACAAACGAAGGATTATTCATAGAGCAAATTCACACCCATTCTACTGTGCCGTGGCAATTCTGGGACAGCAGCACAGGCACTGCACGTTCATTTTTTGCTGGCCTCCTTCTGCAGGAGCCAGGCCAGAACAGGGGCTGTGTTCTTGCGGCAAAGGTGGTGCTGCAGGAGGGCACAAAGGAAAGTGACTCATCCCTGTGATCATTAATTAATTAGTGCCCTGCTGCTCCTCAGGGCAGGCCAAACTGATCATATGTGAGGAAAGTTGACACAGAGGAGTAGAAAATTCGGCTCACAAAGGAGCTTGGAAGGTGTTCAGTCCCAAATGAGTCCTACCTGCTCCTTCGATACGATGAGATAATGGCCTCCGCCAGCACAAGGGGAGGTCCCTGTTGGATATTGGGAAGCATTTATTCTCCAAAAGAGCAGTGATGCAGTGGCACAGCTGCCCAGGGAGTGGTGGTCACTGTCCCTGGAGGTGTTCAGAGCCACAGGGATGTGGCACTGAGGGATGTGGGCATGGTGGGCTGGGTGGGGGTTGGGGATCTCAGAGGTCTTTTCCAACTCAGAAATGACTCACCCTGGTGAAACAGATGCTTCACTCCCAGATGTGGACCAGTGAAGCTTTAGAGACTGACTGCAACCAGCATGCACCCCATGGATGCTGGCCAAAGGCAGCGCCTGCACCCCAGCACCCAGACGAGGTGCTTCTGCCCATCAGTGCTTTGCCATCTCCAGGTTTCTGAGGTTTCCAGTGCCGCTTGCTGAGCCAGCAGACCAAGAGCCATCCATCCTGCTGAAAGGAGCAGGCAGATGGCAGCCACCCCTCCCTCTCACCTCCCTGTCATCAGACAAGTGTATTTTTAGCCTTTTTTCCCTGTGATCTTTAAAACAACTCCAGACACACAGGTGCACTTTTGTAAGAAGGCCAAAAGACAAATCTGTAGCAGATTTGTGCACTCCCTGGTCTGTTAGCGTGCCTTGGGCAGCAAAGGCATCTGCTGCCCAGAACACACCCTTCCCCAGCACCTCCTCCATGCTCCATCCCAGAGCAAAATTCACCAGAAAAAACAAACATTGCAACAACAACAACAACAACAAATCTTCCAGCCCCATCTGCCCAAAGGAGGAGGGATGCTGAGCAGGAGGGCAGCTGCTACTCACCTGTCCTCAAGATTTCTCCCTTTCTCTTCCTTTCAGGGCTGGGGACAGAGCTGAGCAGGAGTTGGGTGCGGCAGAAAGCATCCGAAGCTGATGGTGCTACCAAGAGCTCGAGCTGCACTGCCAGCTGCTTGCTGCTCACATTGTTTAATTCAATTTATTAAGCAAAGATCAATACTGGATGCACGGCCTCCATCTCTGTCTTAGAGCATGAGCTTGGCCAAAGTGTCCCAGGTGGACAACAATGCAGGGACCCATCTCCTGGTGATGGAGCTTGTTGATCATCCTGCTCTGACTTCTGAGTTTAGGATGATGTACTTCTCTTGGTAAGTAAAAAGTATGAGGTCTCACAGCTACCACGGTTTATTAATTTGTCTCTTTAATCTAATTCTCTGCTCTCTGTGGAGAGAGATTAAATAAATCACATGTAGCCCAAGTTACAGGAAAAGCCAGCACAGTGCAAGGGGAAAAATACAGAACTGCAACTCTGGAGTGTCAAAACTCATTAAAAAATATGGGTAAAGAGTTTGTAGTGACCACAACCTAAAATAATAAATACTTCATGAGGAGGAATTTACCCCTCTTTTCTGTACATGGGTGAGGAATCCAGTGGAAACTCCTTGTAGAGCTGTAAATAAGCAGGGATTGCGATGCTGTGTGTTCTGGGGGGTTCCTCTCTCGTCCCACTGCTTTCTTCCATACAGAGCTGGCTTTGCAAGGCAAGACCTGGAACAGCAGAACGTGGGGAGCAGAGTGCTGAAGCAAACCTGCTGGTCAGTCACTGCAACCCTCACTGTGCCAGGGGGAGAGAGCCTGGTGTGCATGGCACTCAGCTGTGAGGCCATGATGCTGAGTTGCTCGCTGCTTTTCCGGGCAATAATTGGATTGGAAAAGAATAAATCATTATTATTTTTAACAGAGCCATTATCCCGTCCTCATCCTAAAGCTTCTGCTAACCTCTGGCAGCACAGCTCAGATCCACGCGGCGCCTTTTAACCCCAACCCGCTTTAAAATATTAATCCTCATGCAAAGCACAGGGTGTCTCATAGCCATGCTGGTCCCATTTGGGAGGAAAATAAGCGTGTTATGATGTCTTCACAGTGATTTTTTTTTTTTTTTGCCTTTTTTTTTTTTTT